GGGTATGAGGAGCTGATACCAAGGGCTCAAGTAGAAAGAAAATGTTTTGAGAAAGATTAGTTTATGACAACAAATGTACAAATGCGTCTAACGCATGATGTATGGATTGTGATAAGAGTTGTAAGCTCCCTCAATAAAGTGATATTTAAAAAATGAGGTCCTTGTCACTAACTCCTCACCGAGAGATTGAGAACCCTTCATTTATTCATTCACCGCTCCCTCCTCCCTTCCTTTAGAGCCGCGGTTCCCAACCTCCCCAATGCTGCAGCCCTTGAATACAGTTCCGCATTTTGTGGTGACCCCCAAGCATAAAATTCTTTTGTTGCTACTTCATAACTGTAATTTCTACTGTTATGAATCATCATGTAGCTATATGATATGCAGCATATATTTTCATTGTTACAAATGGAACATAATTAAAGCATCGTGATTAATCATAAAAACAACATGTAATTATATATTGTGAAATTTTTTTCTAATGACAAATCAATGAAATTTTGCCTTGAACCATGATGTAGCATGAGTAGAAGTCTTCACGCCAAGTACTCATATGTGGGCATATCTGTATGTGGGTGGACCTGCCTGGAGATGGATAGAGGAGTGGTATCTTGGTTCCTAAGACACTTATTTCTGATGGCCTTAGGCAACCCCTGTGAAAGGGTCGTATGATCCCCAAAGTGGTTGCGACCCACAGGTTGAGAACTGCTGCTTTAGAGCAATTTATTACCCACTGGATCACGTGTGCGTGGGGAGAGAGAGCAAAGTCCTCTCTTTTGTGCTCCGGTGAGAGAGACACAGAACAATTCAGTCAACAAACACAGGAATGGCTGCCCTCCAGTGCAGGGAGCACGTGGATTGGATGTATGGTTGTGGAGGCCTGTGGAGGCCTGCCCCTTACTGATTATTAGAGTAAGTAATTTAGTTCTTACATAAAACAGCATCAACTACTCATTTTGTCTGACACCCTCCTTGACCCCACCCACCTCCACGTGAATCTCTTTCTTCCAATTGGGGATGTCTAAGAACAAAATAGCTGAACCAGTGGCTGCCTTCAGGGTCCACTGGCCAACCCCCCTCCCCCCTCACTGCCCCAAAAAGGCTGGGGGGAAGGTCAGGGCTGTGGGGGCGGACAGATCACACTGTGAAACTGATCTGATAGTCATGGTCCCTGTGAGCCTGATTCAGCAGTTCTTCTCTCCATGCCTCAGTTTCCCCTCAGTAAGGTCAATGAAAGGATAAATGGTATCTCGTTTGCAAGGCTCTCTGAATGAACCTGTACGTATTTACAATTGCCTTACTTAAAGCGAGGTCCGGAGGAGCTGCACAAACAATACTTCCTTACAGCGTTAAGGTCTGAGAAGCCCACAGGGGAAGCGCTACCCTGTCGGACAGGGTTTCCATAAGTCAGCGTTGACTGGATGACAGTGAGTTTGGTCTTCTGTTGTAGTATCTTCTCCACCCACCAGAGGGCTCCTCAGATGGAAACACACTCACTACCTGCAGCCTCTTCTCCCCTCTTTCTTCCTCCTGGGGACACTGACCTTCCTGGGAAGTCGTCTAAATTGCCTAGGGTAGTCCGCTAATGGTCCGGGGCACTGGTCTATCCCTGGTCTCAAACTGAACCTCAGTGGAGGACTCGGTTTATTATACACTGACTAGAATAGCTCTTGGAGCTGAGCTCTGGCTCCAGGAGCCCCAAGACTCTGAAGTCAGTCCATTGTTGCTCCTAGTCAGCCCTGCCCAGGAGGTCAATACGGAATCCTGGTGACAGGCTCCCCAGGCTCAGGAAGCATCAGACCTAGTACAGGGTGTGGAAGGGCCTTCTTGAACATGAGTTTGTCTATGAGGACCTGGGAGTCACTCAAGCCAGGACCTGACCAAATGCTCCAAGGTCACCTTCAGATGAAGTGCAGCAGGGGGTGGGGGGACTGATTGAGTTGATCACCCCTTGCTTAGTTAATGCCCCTCAGGAGCTCCTCCTTGCACGGAATGTCTGCAGGGTGCAGATTCAGGAGAGGAATCCTGATGGAAATGCTCAAATCCAGGAATGGAATACAGCAATGAGGGTAGGCCCAGCAAAGCTCCAGACTGTCAATCATTATCTTAAAGTAGAGTTAGCCCCGCCCACCTCCAGATGTCAGAGAGGAATGACTCACGGAATACATGGATCTGCCCAGTCCATTTCTTAGGCGCTCCTTTTGTCCTTCTTACATGTAGCGTGTAGGTTCCTGCGTCTGCCAGGGTGACATTGTGCAAAATCAGGGACCCACGGGCGGATAGTGCCTCTCGGCCAGTGTGGGCTGGCCCATGGGTAGTTTCTCCAGTGTCTAGTACATATGATACAATGAGATCCTTGGGCTCTATGCTGTCCCCTTTGTACCAGCTGTAGACTAAAGCCACTGCTCGTGAAGGATTGAGGAGAAGAACATCCTGTCCTTCAGCAACAGCGCGGGGCATGGATTCCAGGGTGAGTTGTGCTGCGGTGGGCGGGCTCCAGGACAGTAGCAGTGAGACTAGGAGGGAAGAGAGAGAAAGTGACGTCAGCACGTGGACAAGGGTGTTGGGAGGGAAAGCTGGGCCCTTGAGTCTGAGCAGGTCCCTCTCAGCCCTGGGACAAGGAGGAGTGAGCTTCTGAAGGTCAGCCCTGCTGAGTGCCTTTGACCCTGTCCAATTTCTTGTTTCTCACACTTTCTCCAGGTGTCTGCAGGGCTCACTCATTCATGGTCCTCAGGTACCTGCTCATGCTCAGTGGAATCCTTCCGAGTGGCGTCCACATACCTGTGTCCCCACGTCCATCCTGTCCCTGCTCTGTGTCCTTCATGGTGCTATCACCATGTGACATCACATGTAAATCTATTTGCTTGCATATCTCCCTCTCCCCTAGATGTGAGCCTCATGAAGGCCGGGGCGGGCTGTACCCCTAGTGCCTAGACAGGGCTCAACCCCCTGGAGGGATCAGTGAGGGTTCTCTCCTATGCCCAGGTGTTTCCTTGTCCGTTCCTGAGGTGGGTCAGCAAGGGCGCTGTTTAGAGCCCCTGGTCAAGACTCCCTAGCCACCACAGTGACATATGTTAAAAAAAATGCTAGGAGTTTAAAAAATGCATTGTTTAAGGACGGTTAATTTGGAAAACAAATTTGAGGTGTTACTCCCCTTACCAGTTCTCATGGTGTAATGGGGGATGCGTTGGGCCGCTCACCACAAGGGCGGCAGTTTGAACCCACCAGCTGCGCCTCGGGAGCAAGACGGCGCTTTCTGCTCCAGGAAAGATTCACAGCCTTGGAAACTCGGAGGGGCAGCTCTCCTCCGTGCTGTACAATCACTGTGAGCCAGAGCTGCCTTGAGAGCAGCACGTTTGTCTAACCAGTTCCACTTCCCTGACATTTCCTGTGCTGGCCCACCTGCCCCTTCTGCATCCTCTCTACTCTCAGGGAGCTTTCTGTCACCTCCCAGATGCTTGACTCCCCCCCACCCCCACCCGGGGAGACCCCAGCCCACCTCTGTTCTCCCCCTCCCATGCCCCAGAAGAGTGTCTTCTCTTACCTGTGAGCAGTGTCCCCTGCCAGGAGCTGTGCCCTTTGCTGGGAGTGACTGAGGGGGGCTCCATGGGTCCCTGCTGCTGCTCTCTGCTCCCGCTGTGGGAAGAGCTCCGGCCCCAGAACTGCTCACCAAGCTGGTGCCCCAGGTGTCAGCTCTGCTGTCCTTCCTTCCTCTGAGCACCAAGCCTTGTCCTGGGGCAGGAGTTTCCCCAGGTCATGTGGGCCGGGGGCGGGGTCTATTCTTAGATGCCTCTTTTACCCCCTCTCTTTTCACTTCTGCCTCTTATCTTCCCTCATTCCCTTCTGTCTGCACTATACCTGCACTGGGAACGTTTGGCTCTGACTTCTCAGCCCTGACCCTCCTCACCTCATCCCTCCTGGTTCTGGGGTGAGCCCAGTGCTGGGGCCTGGGCCTCCAGGGCTGTGTCCTCTCAGAGTCTGGGGCAGGGGCACAATTGCTGCTCCTCTCGCATTCCCTCTCAACACCAGTTGGCTTTTCCTTCAGCCCAGGAGCTCCAGGGGTGACATCAGGACCTTTGTCACTGAGAATTTTGCTTTGTTCAACAGAGTCACTTAATAAAGTGACCAGGCATCCAGGTGATGCCTTAACACGCTACTTCAGCATCTACACAGTTAATGTGGAGGATGCCCTGCAGGGCGGAGAACCAGTGATCTGGTTGGTGGAGATGACGTCTGACCCTCTCCTGTGTACAGGATAGTCAGAAAGGCAAGAGACCAAACTCACCGTCATCAAATTGGTTGTGACTCACACTGACACTAAAAAGGGTGTTGGAGACGGTAAATCTTCTTGGGAGCAGATAGCATCTTTCCTCCATGGGTGAGTTTCACCACCTTGTCCTCTGCTTCCTGACATGGAGACAAAGAATCTGTCCAGGAGGGAGTTGCCCTTCTGGGGAAGGGGGAGGCTTACAGGGGACATTCCCAATGGTTCAGGGGGCCCTCTCTCTGGTATCTGTTGGCTGAGTAGTGGTCAGAGCCCATCAGCGTTCTCTCTGTCCGGGGCTGCCTGTGTCGTTGTCCCAGGTGAGGGACTATGCCCACCTTGCCTTACCCACGGGGGGGGCCCACGCAGAGAGTGAGGAGCTGCACAGGCACCCCAGCAGCACAAGGGCCCTGAGTCTCGGGCAGGAGGCACAGGACAGAGCTGACCTGTAGGAGGGGCTCCTCTGGGTCTGTGGGCAGAGAAGATGGAGACCAGTCTCTGCTTCCACCTCTCTAGGGAAAAGCCACGCCCCTGTCTCAGGGGAAATACTTTTTTCCCTGCATTATGTCTCCCTCAGGGGGCCCTGAAGAGACCTGTGGCTAATAGCTTTGGGGGCACCAGGTTGGCTGCCCAGGCTCCAAAGGACATGACCTAGTCCTGACCCTGGACAAGAGGACTTTCACCTTCAGGTTGGGGGTCATGCTCAGGTTCCGTTCCCTGCAGGTCTGCAGGCTGCTCTGGCCCCACCCCAGTGTAGGGTGCACCCGGAAGCGGGTGGGAGGTGTGCAGAGGACCGCTGGTTCTCGTGTCTGGAGGGCTGTTCGCCCAGGTGGATGTCCTGCCCAAGAGCGCCTTTCTGTCCCCAAGGCTTTAAGTGAGGAGCTTGGTGAGGTGTTTTCGGCTGCCCTCGAGAAACATGAACTGGGAGGTTGCCCCCACCGGCCCTACTCCCTGCTCTGCAATGCCCTAGGTTTCCATCCATCGCAGTCCTGGGCCATTGCCTCAAGGCGTTCCATGTCCTTGTCTATCATCTGTGAGTGACCTTCCCACAGGGCTGATCTGGAGCATTGTCGCCCTAGGACGCTGGGGTTCTGTGAGGTGCTTATGAAGGGAGGGGAGGCCTTTGTGGGGTTAACTGCTCTGAGATAGAAGGAAAGGTGGTTCCTATGAAATCCTGTCTTCAATCTGTGTAGTGAGTTCTCCTTATCCCAAGGACCCTTTGGAACTGGGAATATGAATCAGGAAACCAGAACCACGTATCCCCACAGATCAGGGGCCCTTTGTGGTGGGGAGTCTCACCCTAGCTGCTTTGTGGCCACTAACAAGTCACAGATCACAGCGCTGGGTTAGGTGTCTTGGAGCCAATTAGGTCTCTGTGCTCATTGTCAGGAGGGGCCTGTCCTTCTTCTTGACAGTCTGAGGATTAAAAGACCCACGTCCCTGGGACAGCCCTAGCCACATGCTGGCTTCTTCCTGTGCAGATGCTGTGGGCACCCCTGAATCATGGGAGGTGATGTGGTTACTCTTCCTCCATTAAATGAATATTTATTGCACATCGACTACATGTCAGATCAGGGTAGCCCCCCAGGGTTCCACACATAAGACATGAGTTTGGAACGGGTGACGTCATTCTAATGGCTATGAAGGATGCCTCTCTGGGGACCTGAGCTGGTCTGGAGATCATCGAGAGCTTCTTCCACTTGGAAAGGGCCCTGTTTTCTTTTCCCGTTTGAATTTTTATTTCATTTATTTATTTATTTTCATTAAACAATCATTTCATCGGGGGCTCTTGCACTTCTTATAACCATCCGTACATCAATTGTATCGTGCATATATGTTGCCATCATTCTTTTCTCGATATTTACTTTCTATTGGGCCCTTGGTATCAGTGACTTTTTTAACCCTCCCTTTTCCCCTGTGATCCATCGATAAACTAGAAGTTATTATTATTTTTATATCTTACACCAACCACTGTATCCCTTCCCCCATGGTTTCCGTCATTTGTCCCCCTGGAGGGAGGGTGTGAGGTTATGTGTGGACCATTGTGGTCGGTTCCCCCTTACTCCCCTCCTCTACCCACCTTCCCCCTACCCCTCTGGTATCACTCTTCCCATGCCTGCTCCTGGAGTCCATGTGCCGTGAGCTCTTATCCATTATAGGTACTGTGCACATGCTCCAGTGTAGTCTGAAGTGAGAGGCAGCACTGACGTCATGATAGTGGGGGGTGAGGAAGCCTCAAGGAACCAGAGGAATATTGTGTGTTTCATCGGTGCTGTACTGCGCCCTGGTTGACGCATCCCTTCTCTGTGACCCCGCTGTGGAAGGATGTCCCATTGTCTACAGATGGGCTTTGCGTCTCTGCTCCAACCCCCCTCACCCTCAACAATATGGTTTTGATGGTTGGTTGGTTGGTTTGCAATGGGTCCTCTGATGTCTGGCCAGTCCCAACAACACCCCACTGTATGGGCAGGGTCCAGACCATGCAGCCGCTCCCCCAGCTCTCCCGAAAAATAGCCTACTGGACTATGCGGCCCCTTCCCCCCAATTCTCAAGGCCAGAGGGGGACTGTCCAGTCCCTGCCCCCAGCATTCCAAGGAGCTTATCTCTCTGGGCCGGGTCTGTACAGCCCCTTCCCTCAGTGTTCCGGGATGATTTACTCACAGACCACATCCTGGCTCAGACCCTGCAACAGCAGCACCAGAAGGCCTCCCTTCCTCTTGCCAGCACACACCTCCTTGGCTCAAGCCCTCCATATGTCCCACTGCCTCACTGCCAGGCACAATTTCCCTGACCTAACTTGTTGGATCTAGGAGACCGCCCTGGAGCTCATGATGCTCCTGTCCCTTTCTCTGCTCTCCCTTCCCTCCAGGGAGCTCTTTCCATGCCCCAATAAAGCCTCTCTTAGCCTCAAGTTCTTTGTCTCAATTCTATCTCGGTTCCTTGTCTCAGTGTTGACCTCTCATCGTGGTGCATGAAACCCGGGAGGAGTAAGAGGTGTCTTGACGTGCCCCCGCCCTTCCTTTGGCAAGTGCAGTGTCCCTCTCTCCTCCACCACCACCACTACCCACTTCTCTTGGACCAGCATCTCTCAGCGGCTATCCACTGCATCTAAGAGTGAGTCCCTGACAGTACCTGACTCAATTTTATTTCTGCTATTTCGGCCACTGGCCTTGCTGCTGGGTTCTTTAGAGGCTTTGTTCATTCATTTTATTTCTGAACCATGGGCCCACGGCAGAGCCATATCCAAAGGACAGCACTTGGGGACATCTGATTCCCTTTGTTCCTTTTCTTGGGGAGCTGGGAAGCCTTCCCCTTCCCCCGTTACAGAGGCCCAGTTGGATACTCAGGATGCTAATTGTCTAGCTTGGTCTCTTCCAAGAACCCTGCAGCATGGGAAACAAAAATTCCAAGCCGGACTCCACACTTATAGGTTGTGTCCTGGCTAATCTCTCAACTCTTGGCTTAAAGCCAGACCTCCGGCCCAAATGCCTTGGGTTTTTTTACTGCAATTCGGTTTGGCTGTAATATAAACTAGATAATGGCTCTCAATGGTCAAAAGACAGTACTTTTGATTTCAACATTTTAACTGATCTTAGAAACTTTTGCCAGCGAACTGGCAAATGGCCTGAAGTCCCTATGTCCAAGCTTTCTGCCTCCTATGCTCCCGTCCTTCTCTCTGTACTCCCTGTCACCCCGCCCAAGTTCTTTTAGCCCAATACTCTCCTAACCAGAAACCCTTGCCAGTTCAAACAGACCCACTGCTCCCCAATCAGGTCTCTGACAGTACTCCCCCACTCATCTTTCTCCAAACCCCCTGACTCCTTGTCTGTGCTCCCGGTAAGGCCTTCTCCATATTCTGGGTGCCCTTCGCCATCACCTCCCTCCACTACCCCCTCAACGCCCAACCACCCCTCTGCCGTTCCCCCAGCCCTTTGACTCTGTGTTCACTATCTGTGATTTCTGCCACTAACCGGACTCCTGGCACTGGGTCTGGAAGTCACTGCACCCTTTGATTGGACTAGAGTGCAAAGAGTGTGTCTGAGCTTTTTCTACCTGTTTGTGTGTTTTGTGTTTGCAGCTCTGCGGTGCCCGCTCCCAGAGCTGCTCTAAAATCGACTTCCTCCTTTTCCCATTCTGAACAAAGGCCTCTGACCCACCTCCATTTTACCAGTCACAAGGCCAGACCCCTCCCCCTCCTTGGCTCCAGTTATGTCTCTCACTGATCCAAGGTCGCTGTGTGCAGGGTAAAGCCACAGGCCTGTGTTAGGGAACCTTCCTGTCTGGAGAGTCCAGGTCTCTCCTCCTGGGTCCCTAACTGTAGTGGAACCCTCAAGGTTATCAGACCATTCCTGTCTGACGGGTGCGGACGGGGACCAGTGGACAACCTCCTCTGCCTGTACCCCCTGCA